CGCCCCTCCCCGCCTGCAGCATCTTTCTGCCCCCGGGGACACCCACCCTGGCACAGGGGCTCGTTCTCTAACCCAGGCCTTTCCCCATGCCCAGCCGGAGAGCAAGGAGATGTTCCACCGCGGCTCGGGGCTGAATCTGACCAGCGGGCAGTACACGGCCCCTGTTGCAGGGTACTACAGCTTCACTGCCACGCTGCACATAGGTGAGCCCCCAGGCATCCCCCACGGCCCCTCCAGGGAGGTCTGGGATGTCTCTCACCCTGCCCTCTGTCCCAGTGCGCAGCGAGCAGCGGAGGAAGGGGCAGCCGAGCAGTGGGAATCGCCTGCAAGTGCTGATCTGCGTGCAGTCCCGCTGCCAGCACAACAGGTAGGGCAGGGAAAAGCCCAGCCGGGAGAGGGACCCTGGGCCAGGGAGGAGTCCAGCGTCCCGGGGGAAGGAGGGACACGCTCTCCCCAGCACCACCCTCCCTCTTCCACAGCAATTTAGAGACCGTGTCCTGGCTGGAGAGCGGTGGTGACCTTTTCACCGTCTCTGTCACCGGAGTCCTTTACCTGCAGGTTAGTGGTGCCAGCTCCGCACGGGACTGCGCCAGGCAGGAAGGTGCCTTCTGTGACCCCAGCTCCAGGGCTGGGTATCGAGTCTGTTTCTCAGCCCAGCTCCGAGCCCAAAGGACACTCAGGACTGAGGTCTGCTGGGACACTACAGCACATACCATGGCTGGGCCACCCTATTGGCCTTCATCTCACCCACTTCCTAGAAGGAAGCGGGGTGAGCAGCCCGTCCAGCTCTCGGCTGCTGCGTGCAGGACAGAGCTATCTCCTTTGCTCTGCCAGGCTGTGCCCAGTGCCCGGAGGAGGTATCCCAGCCCCATTAAGCCCTCTTTCCTTCCAGGCTGGGCAGTACGCTTCTGTTTTTGTGGACAACTCTGCAGGCTCTCCCCTCACCGTTCAAAGTGGCTCCGATTTCAGCGCCGTTCTGCTGGGGGTGTGAGAAGGTGCTGGGCACCACGCAGGGAGCTGAACCTGTGCCAGGAACAGCCAGACCCTTCCCTCTGTCAGCCACCATCACACCTCCCCTGCTCAGCACCAAGCCCAGGGAAGACCTTTCGCTCCTCCAGGCTGGTCCAATACTGCTTGTACTGGAGAACCATCTGAAGCTGGACAAAAGATCAGGGAGGAAAGGATGATAATAATAATAATAATAAAAGCCTGACAAGGAGCTAAAGGAGTTCACGTTTATCTAAAAGCTAGGGCTAGAAGTTTATCATCGAAAATGCTGCTGATGACGGCAGCAGCCAGCTGCTTTCTCTGTGCAGCTCCGCTCCCGCTGTGCCAGGCACTGGTGCCTCAGACGAAGCCCTATGGCTCTGTTTTTGCTCAGTGGATTTCCCTGTCAAGCTTCTCAGCAGCCCAAACCAGATTTTTTGTATCGCTTTAGCTTCTCTGCAGTGTATTAGCAGTGAACGTTTGCTGGCAGAAGCCAACGTCCTTTGCAGCTACTCTTCAAAGCAGAGCAGTGTCCTGATAATGCTGCACATTCGATTAAAGCAAATTCCTGTTCTGTGGCCTTCCATGCCAGGCGTTCCTGGCCTGTGGCACAGGGCCCAGGCCATGGGCAGCGCAGATAGGGTCCTTGCTTCAGCTCTGATAGCCCTCTGAGCCGAGGACAGGCACAGGGCTATGTGCCTAAGCAAGGGCTGCAGGAGGGGTGCCCAGGCAGGCTGGGTGTGGGGCAAGGGAGTCGCACGTTTTGTTTCTTCATAGCACGTAGCACTAGGCAAGTCGTGCCAGCAATGCCGCAAGATAGCCCGAACTGCACCCAGCCCCACCTTCCCTGAGGGACCTCACACGTAGGCAGGGGGGAGGCAGCCTCCTCACGCATGACCTCGCTCACAAGGGCTTTCCTGGCCCTGCTTGGCCATCTCTGCAGGTTGCGTCTCCTCAAGGAGCCTGGTGAAGTAGCTGTTACTACAGCTCTTTGCGGGTTTCTATCTGGAACAGGGGCTAAATTTAGGTGTTGGCAGGAGGCTGGAAGCTCAGTCAGGCCCAAGAAACGGGAGCTGCATGTACAGCACTTCCACATGGGCCACCGCGGGGTGGTGGTCCCAGAGCTCCCCACAGCAGCAGGATGCTGCTGAGCAGTGAGGCAGGGAGCTTGTTTTCAGGAAACCTCTTGCAGACCCCACCCTACCAGGAAATACAAGCAAACAGCTTTCTGACTTCCACTAAAGCTGGGGTTGAACCCGCCTTTTTAACTGGCTGGCTACTCACAAGCATGGTGAAACCTGCTCCACAGTGCTTCCTTTTCCCCTTTGCCCTGAAAAAGAGACAATATGATCCATTTTATGGAAATCATTATTAACTGTATCATAACACTGTGTATGATGTTCCTAGCTGGAGTTGTGCTTTCAGTACACTGTCTGAAGGGAAGGAAAGAAGAGTTGTAAGAGGACAGACGGGGAGAGAAGACAGCTGGAGAGGATGGGCTGGTACTTCTCTCACCAGCTCTTGCACTGGAATTAAGAGGGGCCTCCTGGAGCTAGCACCAAAGAGATGGGTGCTTGGCTCGGCTCTCGCAGCACAGCACACAGCTCTCCCCAGTGCAAGAGCTGTGAAAAGCAGGGAGGCAAGAAGGGAGGGCGAGCTGCCCTTCCAAGATCTGCTGTCAGGGTTTCTCTTCCCACAGACTGAATAAGCTGCATGCTGCTTCGTCTTGGCTCTCCAAATTTGGATTTCGAGAGCAGGAGCAGCAGCACGTGTTGTTAACATGGGCAATTCCCTCTCAGCTCATCCTGCAGTGCAGCCTCACATCAGAGTATGCAGGAATTGCTGGGAGAAGAACAAGCTGGCAGAGGCAAGCGCTACCCAAAATACATGCCAGGGACCTGCCTCCTTCCTCAATGCTCTGCAGATGTGGAGAGTTAGCATGAGCTAGGCTGAGTTAGCCTAACTGTTAGCAAAAACCCATGAACTTCAACTGACTTCAGCTGCAGCAGAAATAGGTTACAGTCAAGCCACCTGTCCCAAACAACAGGATAGCTTTTGCATGCTCAAAAAAACAGATAGCCCAGGATCCGGGACCATCTCCCAGAGCTCCAGGGAACACAGGGAGCCAAGAAAGCCCAGGAAGCCTCCCAACCCTGCGCAGGACTATGCACAAAACAGCAAGCACCACCGCACTGACCCGCCCGACTCTCTCTGGGACTGCACCGTGTCTCATGCAGAGCGAGGAGGCTGCGCAAGAAAGCGCTGCACAGACCCACGCACTCATCTCGCTCACTGCAC